CATGCTGTCGATGATGATGATGATGTTGCGACTCTGTAGACCTAGCCCCTTCACAAGTATGCAAAAACGGCCAGTCATCTGAAAAAGTTATAGTAACAACGGTTCGACGAAAAGTGTGGTAAAGGAAGTTGAAAGCATTTTAACTGTGTATGAGAACTGCCTAATCCGTCCTGTCTGTTGAGCCAGAAAAAATTAGTACACCGGCGGCCGAATGGGTAGATCGCACAAGAATAGCCAACGACAGACGTGACAACCCTTGAAAAGTTTCACATCAACGCACCACGTCAGCACTTACACAAAACAACACATGAAACAAAAAATGCGGTTATCCATAAGATATACCCCGAGGGATGATGATATCCGCTTGGGCCATCATGGGTGCAATAAATTGTTCATAAGATGGCTTGACAAACCGGAAATATTGGTCCACAACGTTCTGTAGACTGCGACCTCTTTCGGAAATGTCGCGCTTGAATCGACGAGCCAACCGTTCATCGGCATCCGTGTCGACAAATATTTTAAGATCCAACAGCTGATTGGGAATGGGTGAGAAAATGTTCAATGAATGAATATCATGAAGCTGTCAATAAGGCTCGTACCCGTTCGAACAGGACTTCCGCTACAATCGGAGAAATTAAACCACCACGGTGACTTAGTTTCGAGAGGCATAAAAACGAGCCCCAGGATTCTGGGAAGAAATGCCCCTCACAGCAACATCACAAATGTAGCGCACACAAGTGAGAAATTAAGGTAATAGCGAAAGACGGTCTCAGTGTCTTGTGGAAACAGCCAGTGTTTACAGGCAGCGAGGGATTTCGCAGCGTAAAGTGAGACTGAAGTCGATCTATGCTGAAATCACTATACGGTCGTTTTATGTCCGTTGGAAATCATCGACAGTGCGAATCTCTAGGTAGATTTGAATCCATGGCCTACCGGTTAGTAGTACCCACAGCAGTGCACCGGCACGAAACATCGGCACCTAATCACCGTACAACCATGAGGAAAGTGTTCTAGTAGGGGGCGGAAAGAAAACGGAAAGATAGGGAATAGGTGCAAAAACGCCCAATTTATAGGCGACGGTCCAGAATCACCAATTATTGAAAAAACGAACTTGGGTATCAAGCCGCAGAAAGGCGAGAAAACAAGTCATCCACTTCAAGTAGTGACGAGTTGTAGAGACTGACAACCGGTACCTAAACCGTTCCGCAGAATGATCAGAAAGTTCGGTTTTATCGTATTTGAAGTACAACCTAGAAGACGCGACCATTAATTTCTAATCAGGAATTTACTGACAGCACGTAGTGTATAAGTAAGTAATTTTTATGGAGATTCGTGCTTCTAGTTCCAAACAGGGAGACGGCAGTTATGCAATGCTTTTTGGCATCGTAGCATGGTGTGACTTCAATTGCGGGGGAAAATCATCGCTAAAGGATAAATATTTGCAAGTAGTGAGTAAGCTATGAATACCTGTGTGCTTACTGACCACGACTGCATAGTAGTTTTTATGGTTACTGTAAATGGTCTGGCAAAACGTTATCAAACACGTGATAACACGGGACTCATAAATTCACTTGTTGGGCGGTTAGTCTTCCCGTACAAGACCGCGAACCTGCCGTCTCGGTAAGTGTAGGGCAAAGAATTTTCTGTTCATGGCATTATCATCATAAAAACGTTCACTATTGTGACGTTCCAACATATCGGGTGGATTTCCGATGCAGACACAAAATTTTCCCTTTAACTAAGATACACCGAAGAAAAAGGTAGACAAAAGTAAAAGACGATGTAACTAAGGTCCGGCTGTCTCAAGCTCGCGCAACGTGTGTTGCGGACGAAATGAAGTCACCCAGAATACAGGGTACACATTAAACCATTATATCAACTGTTAAAGTTCTTACTTCTGAAACTGCGGGTGAACAAAAAACGAGAATGCCTTCGAGAATTATCACATTGGCGCCATATACTGTTTTCTGCAAACAGAATGAATACAACAAAGAATTAAGCAATGAATAAATAAAGCAAACGAATAAAACAGCAAACTTAATAGGACGATTATGATCCGTGCCTTATCAAACAGTGAACTTGGTTATGAAACGTAACCGCCTAGCAATCAAAAGCACACAGCAACAACAGGGGCAATGCAAACCACAGAGCACAGAAAGACAGTCCTGAGCCGCTCACCGTTTTGGCTGTCCGGGAGTGTGTTTTGAAGTCATACTCCGGAACCTCTATGCTCTTACCGCTACGCAGGCGCTGTAGATGCTGACATAGGAGGTCAAAGTCAAAGGAATTTGGGTGATCGAAATTGTAGTTGCATTCTGCTACTAGCTGCCTTTCTTGAGCAGTCAGTACCTAGAAAGCAAAGCAAAACAGAAATAAGCGATGTACGTGGGCGTGTATTACCAGCAATACGGTGCACGAGAAGCCTGCAGAACCGCCGCTTTACCTCAACTTCTCGACCGTCATAACAAGCGAAAAGGATAAAATTTATCGAGCTCGTGACTGAACCAGCGACCGTTTTTAATCTCACGAATAATGTAGCGGAGAAAATTGGAATGCTATTAGAGCCGCCTTGCAAGGAGAACCAAAACAACCACCTGGTTAGTAAACTAGTTATCGTTTGACGAAACACACTCATTTGCATATCAACGCGGTTTTCATGAGGGACTCAACAGGAACCTAACTGAGTCTCTTGTTTATGATGCTTCTGGTTATATGTGCGTTTTTCAGGCATGAATCAGACTTTCAATTTTTATCGTTCTTGAGGAAACTTAGACCTCATATCACGCAATATAGGACAGACAAAACGACCCGTGTGGAACCAGAAAATTACTAGAGCTCAAACGTCTGCCATCGGTGTTACACATGGACCATGTGCATGTCGCTCCAGGATCTTGATATTGATAACAATAGATCCACACAGGTAAGTCGCATTGTGTATATACACATATACTTCATGCTGAGAGTTCGTTGGGCCCCAGTCTGTCTTCCAGAAAGATAACCATAAATTCTGAGAACTGACAATCATTTTTACTACTATTATATGTCCCAGGCTTAAAAAGCACATTGAAATGTCTAAATGAAAGTCATGAAACTAGCAGACCGTATGTAAATAGCTTGCTCAGCTTTCATACGGCTCGAGACAGTTCAGTGGTTAGGGGACGAACCTACTAACCGGAAGGTTCATGGTTTGAACCCAACCATGGAATCTCGATTGCTGCTCTCTAGGCTTCGCTAACCCAGCTCTTGTGCTTCCTTCGGGTTTCATGGCAGCTACGCACTGGAAAGCTGTTATGACACAGAAATCAGCCAATAAACCTCTATTTTTATATTGAGCGGGCACAATGATGAAAAAAGTAATAGGACACTTGACTGTATTAAACGTAATATTTTTTCGACATTTTTAACAAAACAAGGAGGGCAGGACAGTTCAGAGACTGATGAAAAGTGAAAGGCACCGCAACCGGATTGTTTAGATCCGTTCACTTACCCGATAATAGGAGTCCATGCTGAGCAAGCTAACCCACTGCACGTCCAGACTTTGGATAATCTCGCGAGCCACTGTGGTTTTCCCGCTTGCACTGCCCCCACAGATCCCAATCACAAGGGGTTCCTTCGCCTGACCTTCAGTGTCATACCAAGGAGGACGACCGTGTGTATATATGGTTCGATCACCAACACGCATCACTGGTTCTGGTAACCCCCAAGTAGTAGAACTAAGAGAGATGAGCTATCGTTTCGAGAAAACAAACCGAAAGAATATAAGGAAATCACCTGCGTGGAAAATTTATCGTTTGGCAGAAATGGTGTGAAATAATGAAGCAAAATGAGTAAAACGTAAACGCTCGACTGCCGGCAGTAACAAAACCACAGCAGTCCTTGCAAATCAATCGCCGAGGGGAGTCGCTACAAACAGATGACTGCCTAAACATGCTCAAATCTTACGCAGTAAATAATCTGCGGTTACAGACGGCAGTACTTTGACTTACAACTGCACTCTCTATCCTCTTTTGCTTTTAGTTTAGCTTGCGCTATGTATTGAGGGCTCATATTGCCAGCGTGAGCGGTTGCGATCACCAGCCAACCACTCATTGCCTCTGCTCCACTCACTCCAAAAACAAGTGCATTCATAAGCGTACAGAGATACACAACTCGCCAAATTCATCATTCGTACAATCCTACGCGAACCAAGAACGCAAAGGGTGTTTATGTAACCCATGCCACAGGAATTCTCGCCCATTTGCCACGTGTATAAACTAGATCTGAGCAAACGCCGAGCTCAGGTGGAATCCGAAAAGGGTCAGCGAGACTAATGTTGGCTACGCTGCTATCCCTTTAAGAGCGAAGAAGTACAGCACAACGGTGTCTACCAGACAAATATTTACTTATGTTACATGGTTCGTGTTGCGCAGATAAGTTTCGTTATAAGACCCCTGCTGATGAAACTCATATTTTCAACCCGCCAACGAGGCTGAGGGAACAATAAACTTGAGAGAGCTATCTGTTGACAGCACGCTGTTCCGAAGTATTAACAAGCCTTGCTAGCTCAATGAATGACCGCACAATGACAGCATCATGACTACTTATTTATTCATATGGTCATTACTCAAAAAGCAATCGAAAAATAAACAGACAACCTTGCTCGTGATTTGGATCCGCATCAGACCATTAATCCCGATTTTTCAGTACTCTGGAGAAAGGATAAATTCTGACCTGATCCTACGACATAGATAACCGTCGTTGCTCGAGGAGCCAGTCAACACGTGTGACCGCGTGATGTGAATCCCGTGATTGAAGGATGAGCGGCGCTATATCCTGTCTAAGTGCGAGTTAATCACACTGCTGATCAGCCACTCGTGGCCGAACGGTTAAGTGTTCGCGGGAGGTCGCGGGTTCGAGACTTTTCGGAGTTTCGTGAGATGCGTACTGCTGATGATTCCCAATAAGGATGAAACAGCTGTACAGTGCTTCTCGGCTTTTCAGCATGGATCGGCTTCACTTACAGGACGAAATCCCACATAGATAACCATCTTCTTAGGCCAAGAAACACTTGGTGTTAATGAAGACGCGAAGGAAAGACACCTTCAACAAAATATACCACAATCAGGAAGATATTTTAGCAAGATGGTCAGTGAAGCGTGAAGCTGAACGAAAATTCAGTGACACCAACCTTCCGCCGTCGACCCGTCCTCATGGGGTTGTCGCTGTGAACGAAAAACAAGGGGAGTAATGTAATGAGAGTAATGTAAGCTGGACGTGGCACGCGGTGAAAAAAAGTAGATAAATAGTGTACTTTGAAGGCACGTTGAGTAACTATTACCTCAATCACTGAAGACAACAGACAGTATTTTTTTTTATCTTGGCGCAGTAAGACAACAGGACTTGTGCCACTAAATATAGAGGCTCTTTAAGCATAGATTAGTTCATGGGGAACGCAACCAGCTTCGCCAATGGTCGGAGCAGTAGGTCGTCGAGTTTCTCAAGGAACATGTAGAAAAGCCCTACAGGATCTTTGACGTTCAATAATAAACCCACAGTCTAGTGTACGCCATTCACAGGGCAGCATGCCTACCTAAGGCATACCGGATGTACATGTTTTGGGATGTTGTATGTTCCCATGAGGGCAATATTAGAATGTCGTGACCAAAAAAGGTAGTGTACACGTTGAGTATAGGAGGCCAGCATACAAACTGCTCAAAATACAGTAACCAGGCAGGAATCAACCTATTTAACAAACCTACAAACTATGGTGCAGTTTGAACACATAAGCAACCAGTGTAACAATGGAAAGAAAGAAAGCGTTCAGCTGTAGCACCCTTCCGGTGCCTAGCTGCCATGCCACCCGAAAGAAGCACGAGGGCTAGGACACTGCCAGGTTGCCCAAGCCTAGACAGGGGAAATCGAGTGGCGGAGGTCGGATTCGAACCACTTGGGCCATCTCGCCCAAGGCTCCCTTTGCTTCGCTTCTGTCCTTAAGAAAATCATCACCTATCACCACGGATAAAATTAACTCTCAAGAGGATGCTTAGGATTATACAATCATTAACAAACGAAGAGGTTCATGAAGTAGGTATAATGCGTACCATAATGGATTTTCCCGGATTACCCGCACAGTGAATAAAAATGTCTGTGGATCCGTGCCCCTATAACTTTCTGCGAACAAATGCGACCCTCTCAGGATACCCAGGCTTTGGGCTGCAAAGTAACTTCTACTAAAATGGGAAATTTTCTCATGAATGCCACCTTCAAACAATTTCCAAAGGCCGTGGGGGGTGCATCTATTCCCCATAAAATATAGCATGTAAATAACCGCTCACATTTGTTACAAACTTAGTTAGGTCTAGTGAAGATCATCCGGTATGCAATTACCACTTTTCTCATAAATGAGTAACTCCAGGGCACCGAATTTTCATAGAACTGCACTAAAAGAGTTGGGATCGATTGAGCATTCGGAACGATTCTATTCTCCACCGACTGCCTACGACAAAAATAGACATACCACACTGCGTGGAACCGTGAGTTACAGTATACCTACCATCATTTCTACAGGAGAACAGTATTATGAAGCAGCGGCCTTACTTGGTTCAGAGTGATCTATTTCATTCAGCTGTAACGCCCTTCCGGCGCCTAGCTGCCATACCACCTGAAGGAAGTACGAGGGCTGGGATAGTGCTAGGTTGCCCAAGCCTAGACAGGGGAAGTCGAGAAGCAGGGGTCGGGTTCGAACCACGAACCTTCCGCTCAGTAAATTCGCGCTCTAACCACTTAGTAGTTAGCCATGGTGATGACGGAGCTTACCTACTACCCGCTCTTTTGGTCACACAGCAATCGTATGCCTAATTTCCTCACTGTCAACCGTCCGGGTGAGACCATGGTAACACAAACAGAACGTAATCGAAGGCAGTCGAATATGGTTAGCAAGATATAAAGACATGAGATTAGCGTAGGCTAATACCACTGAATCCAAGTGGTAGAGAAACAGGAACAGTGTGTTGATGAGTAACCTTGTGTGCCTCCTTACCTGGTGTAGGTCTTAATGCTTCGTCTATAAAAAAATTTCCTTAAATGTCTACCGAAAGCTTGGTTACCCGAAGAGTGCACTGTATGAATATGTATTTGGGAAAACACCATACATGTACATGTACATACATCATGCACAACCATACAGAAGGTTACTGGTTCACAAGGACGGAACGTCCCTGTCAGAATAATAGGAACACGGCTTAAACGAATGATGGGCAAGTTGTCAACACTCAACAAATAGGAGGCCTTACTTTGCATGCAGTTGGGACATCTCATCACTAGTGCTGAAGTATACAGTAGCATGTTGACAAGAAATCAAAAATATACTGGTGAAGCGACCACGCGTTGTGGATTGGGTGAGTCAGTAAACACTGTTTGAACATATCTGATGTCTACTTTTCCAGATAACCTTTTGAACAAGTTGCTGTTTAGAAATAAGGAGTTGTCTGAAGTCTCTAGACATAAAGATATCAACGGAGAAAATTCGCGAGCACCCTGGCAAAAATTTTTTGCAACAGACTTGGGGCTTATCCGAGACACCCTAACAGACGACTCAGTTACAGCCGGATGGAAGTCCACCAACAAAGCCGCCACGTTCAGTGAGTCCGGATAGGGAAGTGTATTGTTCCTCTTGCACTAATTGTAACTGTCGACAGCACTTGAACTGGTGACAAAGCAGAAGGAGTAGGAGACGAAAATATATTGTATAACCTTCAAAAGTTAACGCTTCAGAAACGAACCTGCTGTCGCTGTCGGAATCGTGAACGAAAGCCATTTGGAAATAACAAATCTAGAGTGTCCGGAAGAGATGATCCAAAAATAAGGTCGTAATCTTTACAACTGAGTCGCTGATCACGCAACGGTCAAGCTCGCACATGCACAAACAAGACTGTCTGTAATGCAATGAAATATCACGACATAACAGTCACGTAAAAACAAAGATTATTCTGCTCTTAGACTTGGAACAAGTGACGATGAGTGGAACACACAACATTATAAAGAATAAAAATGAACTCAAACAACTACGTTCACTGCTATCTCCAGTTTTCAGCCACAGACCATGCACTGAGGTGCAGTGACGATGACCATTCTTGCTGGAAAGTACTAACCATAACCTTTCAAGGTGCCGGACGCTCCACTTGTGGAACAGGTGCTTTGCGTTGCTTTACGTAGTCTTATGACGTGAAGATGGGATGTTTGATGTGAAGACAGGACCCGAGAACAGCAATCCGGATACATCATCATCATCACCGACGGCATAACGTCAGTGTTCAACACTGTTGCTTTGCTGCTGGATTGCGGTCAGAGGATCGTATAATCAAACTCCGTCAGATGTTAGAGCAACGCCACACGTGTTAGTACTCTAAAATCTTGACCTTCCACGTCAACGGTGCGATGGATGTTGTCGATCGGTTCGCTTACTTAAACACACATGTACACCCGGGTACACTGCTAAATCTCGGGAACATTACACGCTACCTACAAACCATGATGTCTGACGAAAGTGTCCATTCACCTCAATTTTGTTTAGTTTCATCATTAAGGAGGTAATAAGATAAACCCTGGTGTTTCGTTTCCATCAATTGGGAATCTCGTCGATGAAATACGAAAGTCCAGGAAGCGCAAACGCTTCTCAAAAAGCTAACCAAGACCGTCCAGTCCTTCAACAAATGGTACAAACCCACAAAATGTAAGATCACGCTGCAGTACGTACATCCCTCGAATATGCTTCCAACAGTTTTAGCTGAGACACTGGAAGTTGTGCGCACTGGCTTTGACAGTAGTACGAGAGAGGAACTAAGAGCATAAATCTCAAAAACTAGAACTGCTTTTGTCAATTTGCGCCACTTATGTCATCGAGGAAGCATATCATTTTATCTCGAAGAGAGACTGCGAGACCTGGTCACTTCAAATGGATGATATGGAAAATTTTCAGGTTTGATCACCGACGTCTCAGAAGTATAGCAGGAGTCGGCTAGAATAACAGAATGCGCAATTAGGTGATCACTCAAGGAATGAACCCAGCACTGCAAGCCAAGCTGGACATTTGAAGCTACCGCTTGTCTGAAAGAGCATTGTATTCCATGCTTAATTCAGAGTAGCAGGAACCTGGAAATGAATGGACTATGATACGGATTTGATGTGGTTCACGATCCAAGATTGGGTTCACGCCGATAAAGATGCGATAGTCAACCAACGTTAGTAGTATTCATGCTGTCACTTTATACTCAGACTGTCTGACTGTGTAGGGATTGCGGTGATCTAGCTCCAAGTTCTACTGTCACATTTTTTCCCCTCAGTATAGGACTTCAGATAAACGAGCATGGTTTTACAGCGATGAAGCACCGGTGTTTACTTACGGTATTGCTTTCAATCAGGACGACGATGGTGGACGAAGAGGGTTCTGTGAGGCAAACGGTTCTTTCGCACACAATTTGCAAGGCCTAACAGGCGTACCTTATGAGGTCTGACCAGCTGATCTATCGGGAGTTGCCATTTTAGAAAACCTTAGTACCACTGACCCGATTTTCCACTAGCACCAAAAATGCCTCAAGGCAACTTTTACTGATGCCACCGGATATTTGTCACAGAAATGTTCACGTTCGGCGAACGGGGCAAACATTCCTTATAAGTGATAAGGATTTACACGACATTGGCTCTGTATGAACCTTACCAGTTACCTATCCACACACAGTGATCTACCGCTGCTTAGTTCCTCCAAAGAGATGTGTTTGGAATACGGCATGTCCAAAAAATCGTTCAGCTGTGGCAACCTTTCAGTGCCCAACTGCCATACAACCCGAAGGTTGCATGAGGGCTGGGACACTGCCAGGTTGATCATGCCTAAACAGGTAAAGTCGAGATGCAGAGGTCGAGTTCGGACCACGAACCTTCTGGTCAGTAAATTCGCGGTGTAACCTGTAGCGACCCAATCACCCACAAACTTGACTGTTCAGCCCACAGTCGCTCACTGGATCACAAGGCTTATCTCTTTCTCATGCCCACAACCACGTCACATTAAGGTGACTCATCAGACGTCGATTGTCTGCACCGTCTAGTGAGCGTACCAACCACTCACGTGCTGACGCGCCCACGTACGCGCAAACGGATCTACATGTAGGGAAACCGAACGCAGTCAACACACAGAGTCACGCGTGCGCAGGGAGCAGGAAGTCAACCTCTCCACAAGTCCACGGACAATGATGGAATACGTGTGGCAGCCAAACTGCGGAGAAAACACGTTCCCGCTGTCCGGACTTTCACCAAGGGACTCTCACATACGATAAGTTCCCTTTTGACTTGCTCCACATTTTATATTGCTCTTTATTTTATACATGCTACAAATCGCTCGTGCAAAAAACTCAATCACAGTTGAAAACTTTTATTGGTGCATACACCTTCTGATTTGTGTCACGGCTATCACCACCTGTGCACTAATAAACCACTTGAGCCATCTCGCAAAATAACGTCATTAATGGCATAAATTTACAGTTTGACTTGCGATCCGAATCAGCGCTGATTTGGAAGTCGCGCGACTTCCTGAACAGATATATCCAGGGCGTGTCGCAGTATCTCAAAGCCAACCTCCCATGGATTTGAAGTCAGTGCGATGTTACACCGAACTGCTGGTGAAGCCGTGGGTAAGTAATCACTCCGTGACGCCTAGTCCCCATCGGTGGTGTAGTATACAGTGCCCGACTTCTTGTTTGATTTATATGCAGTCACCGGTGGCGTGCGACACTGCTCACTGGGCTCCGGCTCAAGAGCTTTCTTTCTGTTTCAATCCAAAGAAACTGTCATGAACCACTGCCTTCGGAGAATCACTGCCGCCTGGTGCTTCCACGTCATACTACACGCCAGGATGGTGGATCTACCACAAAGACCCTGGCTCTGTATGTATGCATACAGGCCTAACACGTTGCCCAACCATACATTGTATCAAGAGCATCACTCAACCCTTTTCTTGTTCCAAGTGAAATCCGGGTAGCACCGGCGTTGATAGAGGTCATAGTGCGCTGTTCGATTCAGTTCATTTTATCACGCAAACTATGTATCAAGGGTATATTGGTTCTAGCTGCTACGGTTTCCGTCGTGAACCGAATCGTGCGCACACCAAACTCGAGCATGTGAGTGGTCCGAAGTGCGAGAGTCGACTCACGCACAAGCTGAACCCGGACATATGATTGGTTCAACCAAGAATCCTATCAACAACATTACTTGACCCGATGGTACAGTGGTTTGTTGACTGTAATCCATGGCCTATAGGTACGGTTAACTAAGGTGAAAGCAACTGAGAGACCCGAGTGCAGAAGTCCTTAAATATGTGGATGGGTTTATTCTAGACATTTGAAAACAGAAATACCGATTTCTTACTAAAACTATATTGAATGAAGTGGTATGGGTAGTGATAGAAAAGTTTCGTGAAGAAAGAGGGTTCTGTGAAGCGTATTTTAAGGAACATGGATATATTTTGAAATTAAAAGTTAGCTTAGTGACCCGATTAAGGTAAGCTTATACACATCTCATGGGAAGTGTGCAGAATCTTCGCGGAACAATTTTTCCAGATGGCGGTAGATAACACTGTTCTGGCTATTCCCGAATGTGATAAATTTCGATGGAACACATACGACAAAGCCATTTGAGTAAGTCTTTTTAAGGCAACCAATAGCGCGGCACGTTCGAAATCGGTTTCGTTTTTCCCTCGTACAAATTCGTGAAAGAATTTTTTTGTTGCTCAATCTATTCCCCCAAAGCCAAAAGGCCCGAGCAAACCGAGCCTCCACAGAACGAAAAAACTCGCAGGCGAAAAGCATCCCCGGAAACCACAAAGACAGGGAGCAGACAGCATCGTCCCACAGGCCCCCTTGGAGCCTTGGACTCAGACTCAAAGCCGGTGCACAACTATTAAGTCTGCTAACCACCCTGGTCACTCAACTTTCGGCTCCTCACCCTCGGAGGCAGCAGAGACAGTGTTGAAATGCTT